TGACTGAGTTCCAAAGTGTCCTCCACATCGTATGCCTCAGGGACGCCGAGGGGGCTGCGGCCGCAGTGGCCACCGGAAACTCGAACAGGCCGGAGGGGCAGCCGCCGTACTCGGGTGGTCCCAAATCCTTGGGATCGGATAGGAATCCGCCACCGTCGACTCATTCACCCGCCTGTAGTCTTGCACACCCCGCCACTCTACCGTCTTCTTCTTGACGACACGCGGTGCTGGGCTTCGGCGGCCTGATCCCACCCAACTCCAACTGCTCCTTCACCCGCGCCTCACGCAGCTCCGGCTCCAAGTGCCTCATACGCGCCTTGTATGGCCGTCCCTTCCCCGTGAAACGCGCCTCATACCGAGCCAGCGCCACCTTCGTCGACTCCCACGTATCCCTGTGCTGCACCAGCAAGCTCCACAGCCTGGCACGGTCTGTGGGGCTCGTGTGTCCCGTCTCCTGCTTCGTTTCTGCTTCCCGAAGTTGCCCTCCGCAAGCTCCTCGAGCTTCGGACTAGCAGCGTGGTTCTCCGCGATTCTCAACCTGTCAGGGTCTCCGCGTTTGACCGTCAAGATCAGCTGCCTGGACCCTTCCATCCGGGCCCTTCCGTCCAAGATCCAAATCTTCCAGGTCCAAAGAAGTGTGCCATCTCACCCGTCCCCAAGAGGTTGGGGATCTGGGGCTGATCGTGCATGACCACCTTCCGCCGGCCATTTATCTCGGCCTCGGCAGGCTTCGTGACGCCGGTGCTGATCACCGTGACTATCTCCTCAGTCGCTGGCGACAGTGCAACCCCGGCCCCCTGGCAGTCCTCCCTCTTAAGCACGCTGAGGCCCGCACCCGTGCCCTCATAGAATTTCAGTTCGACTCTCGAAGAGGGCCAGCCGTACAGCCGGGCCAGCCGTACAAGAGACGGATGTGTCTGAGTGCGAATTATATCTGGGTTGAAGCTGGGTGAACATGAGGTGTCCCTCGAGGGACTTCACGCTGGAGTTCATGTCTGGAGAGAAGAACTGTACGGCTGTCGCGTATGCCGCCGAGGAGGCAGAGGACGACGCGCTCATAGAGCGCTCGGGGGTTCTGTTGTAACGTAGCCCGGACGGTGTGCGGGATTGTCTCGTGTGCGCGGGAGCCTATCACGAGGCCCGACGACGGCGTACAGGACGCAGGGAAACGAAGCGAAGCCTCTCACTAAGCCATACGAGCGGGCCTTGCTGCTCGGTAACAGAGAAGGGCTCGAGGTCCGCGAGCTCGAGCAGGT